GGGGGGGGGGGTCAACCAAAAGCCACCCTGACTTTGGACACACCATAAAAAGACCATTCCTTTCCTCACTAGTCCTTGTGACATTTTGTCTGCAAGTTTTCATTTTCTTTCCAACATGCCCTTAAAGAAAATTGTTCCTCCTCAGGTGGGATTTGTGAAAGGCCCTGGAAAGTTCCGTGTTGCTATTTATTCACTGTGCAACCTTAGGCGAGCCACATGATTGCTCTCAGCCCAGGATTCAAACTCACCCCCTCCTTCCCAGCTCACACAGCCTGGATGCAGCTGGCAGCAGGGAGGCATGTGTGTGCAAATGTGTGCATCTCTCTTTTGGCCTCCGGAAGTGGCTCTGTCTGCAATTGGTCTGGGCCATTCAGACAGGCTGCTTAGGGACAGGCCTGTCCTTTCTGTGACTGTCATCTGCCTGTGAGAGGCCAGTCTTCCTCCACTGCCCTCTTGACACCAGCGGCCCTTTAACGGCAGAGCCTCGGAGCCTCTCACGGCTCTGGGAACTAAGGGAAGAGTCGCCTGCTCTTTAGTCTCCCTGCAAGAGCCCCGGTGGGGTGAGGCAGACTCAGGGGGCACTGCTTACCACTTTTCCCTTGGGAGGCAGTGCCTGAGTCTGTGAAGGGGACAGTTCAGAGCTACAGACTTTCCCAGAAAGGCACACTTGGTATCCTCATCCTGGACAAGCTACCTGCTGTGCACAGGACTGTATCAGTTAGCTTTTTCTAGGTGATGCTGCTGTAACAAAACTCCCGAATCTCAGAATACTGGAGCCATGAAGGCCATTCTCTCACTCATCTTACATGTCCGCAGTGGGCCCCATTTGCTTGGGGACCCAGCCTGAAGGAGCAGCCCTTGTCTGTGACAGGAAGAGGGAAGCAATAGAGTGGCTCCTAGAGGAGCCACTCAGAGAGGTACATGCCTCTTAGGCTCCTCCTTCATGGACCACAGCACGTCACATGGCCATGCTTGATGTCAACGGGACGGAGTCGCATAATCCCGTCCAGGGAGAGGAGGCAGGAATAGCAAACCTACTACCAGAGGCTTCTATGAGCCGGCAGTTCATCCCTGGCACACAGGCTTCATGGCTCCCTGCTGGTCTCAGGTCAAAGCAGGAAGAGGCTGCAGGGTGCACTCAGCCACCCTGTGTGTTTCTTTCTTCAGCTACGGACAGGACACTTGGCCATATGCAAAGGACACGGCAGTGCACAGGAACTGGCTTTCACCCAGAAGCCCAGCGGACCCTCCAGAAAGCCTCGGTGACAGCACCAAGGAGGGGCTTGCCAGGGAGAATTGACAGTCACTCTGACAGTAGAAGCCCAGTTTTAACCTCACACATTCAATGCCTGCATCGTCCTCATGGTAACTGTGAAGGTTGGGTCCCAAAGATGGTCGTAGATGGACACTTGGTCTCTGGTTGCCACCGCCTCTGGCCCCAAAGTCTTCACAATCTTCCTTGGCCGATGACATGGTTCTTGGCATCAGTATTGGTTAAAATGTGTTGGATTCCTCGTCATGCCTACAGGGCACACTTAGAGATTCTCCCACCATGGTGCCCATCACGTGTGAGGACTGCTCATGGGCCAGCAATCTGAAGAAGGAGAAAGACTAGGTCCCAGCTCCCCACAGAGGCAGGTCTGGGGTGACAGCAGGGGTGCAGGTCCCCTCAAAGCCCCTGAAGAGCCATTCCCTTGTGGCTGGAGGAGGCGGCAGCTGGAAAGACAAGGGTCACTCAGGGCTGGGGTCAGGACACAAGAGTCAGGAGCAGGCCTGTCGTGTTTGAGGAATCACATGGAGGCATGTGAAGCTGCTGAGGAGCATATGGAGGTCAGAAAACTGGAAGGCCAGTTAGTCTGCAAATGTTCCGTGCATCGATGGTGACAGGCACTCACTTAAGAATAGTGGGCAGAACAGTGGGCAGGTGGAGGCATGGTTAGATTCTGGACATTGATATTTTGAAGAAAGAGCAGCAGGATAGCTTAAAACTTTTTTGATGTTTATTTATGTTTTGAGAGAGAGAGAGAGAGAGAGAGAGGGGGGGACAGGGTGAGAGCAGGGGAGGGGCAGACGGAGAAGGAGACACAGACCCGAAGCAGACTCCAGGCTCCCAGCTGTCAGCACACAGACCAACGCGGGGCTCAAACTCAGGCAACATGAGATCATGACCTGAGCCAAAGTCAGATGCCCAACCAACTGAGCCATCCAGGCGCCCCAGAGCAGCAGGATATCTTAACAGATTAGATATG